TGCCTCTTGGTCCAAGTATAGGTTTCACATTAGCACGATTAAATATTCTGGGATTCCCATTTGTCTCAGAGTCAGCCACAGTTTGTTATGATACACACAATCAAACGCCTTTGCATAATCAATGAAACACAGTTAGACGTTCTTCTGGTATTCCCTGCTTTCAGTTAAGATCCATCTAACATCAGCTACAATATCCCTAGTACCATGACCCCTTGTAAACCCAGCCTGGACTTCCGGCAGTTCTCTGCTGATGTGCCCTTCCAGTTGTTTTTGGATAATCTTCAGTAGAATCTTGCTTGAAGCTGTGAACATAAGCTATGAACAGCTCTTATTTCTTGGGATATATTCCAAGTAGTAAGATTGTTAGAAAGGATCACAACACTGTTTTCCCTAGTGGTTCAACCATTCCACATTCCTACCATCAATGTATGAGAACTCCATTCTGTTCACCAGCAATTGCTGTTTGCTGTTTTATAGAAAGTTACTATTGTTGCTGATGTGTGATGATACGTATCTCTCTAATAGCAAGTGATCTTGATTGAGCATTTCTTCAAATGTATGTTGACTATCTGAATACCTTCTTTGATCAAATGCCTTTTCATGTCCTCTTTCCATTCTGTAATAGGGATGTTTGGCTTTTTCTTGTCGATATGTTAACTTTTTCTATAAATTTTAGATATTAACCCCTGAACATACAATGTCATTGCAAATATTTTCCTTCATCTGTAGATTCTCTTTTTATTCTTTTGGAGAAATCCTTTTATGCTCAAAAGGAATTAATTTGTAGGAATTGCCTAATTTATCCTCTACTGTCTGTGCATTTTCAGTTATTTTTGATAGGCTATTTATGTAATAAATTAGTCATAACTGATCATTTAATGGGTTCTCAGGGGCTGTAAATCTCAGGGTAGGAGATAATCTGTCTTTCTCCCTTGGAGCTCCTGGTGAATTCCAACTTCTGAAGAGGACTGGTCTTCATGTTAGCAGCAAAATTCCCCACTGGCTATGCCACCAGATGTCTTCTAGATGTCATAGATTAGGGCTCCTAAATTTGTCTTATTTTTTTTTTCTTTGTCCTTATGGTTTCAGGTTTTATATCTAAGACCTTGATCCTTCTTAGTATATAGTGTGAGGTGCAGATCTTGCTTCTATTTTTTGCAAAAAAGATCTAGTTTCATCAGCACATGAAGAATCGTGCTGCCGAACTCAAGTCCACGCCTCTCTGGTGGCTTGAATTCACTAGTAACATGGGTTATCTCATCCCATGTGTAAAACATATAGCCTCATAAAGCAATGGAGGAACAGCTGTAAATTGGTCCCAACTCGAGACAATGAGAGAGCAAAATATATGAAAGGGACTGTCTTTTCCCCACTTAGTGCATTTCATCTCTTTGTAAAAGAACAGCTAGCTGTCCATAAGGATGGATTTATTTCTGAGTTCTCAATTCACTCCACCAGTCTATTTGACTACTGCAGCTATGTAATAGGTTTGAGATCAGAAGTGTAGGACATCTTACTTTGGTTTTCTGACTGTTTCTGTTCATTGAAGAATGATGAAAGGATTTGAACTGAGACTGCTACATAACTATAGACCACTTTTTATATTATTGCCATTTTCACTAAATTAAGTTTCCCACTCTATGAGGATGGGAAAATGCTCCATTTTTGGGTTTCTTGTGATTACCTTTTGTAGTTTCTTTGCACAGGTCTTTTATATATGTCTAGTTAGATTTATTCCTAAATATTTCCTCTTTCAGGTGGCTACTATAAGTGACACTGTTTTCCTTTCCAGAGTTCTCCTTCTTCCTTCTATTGTGGAGGACTCGGACTAATTTTTGTATATTGATCTTGTATCCTGCCCCTTTGCTGACTCAGTCAATCAGATGCTTTCATTTTCTTGCTGAGTATTTCAGATTTTCTACATAAAAAAAATCACATCATCTGCAAATAGAGATAACCATATTTCTTCGTTGCTATCTTGGATGCCTTCACCAAACAGTGCATGACCCAGATGCATCTAGAGAACATTAGACTAAATAAAGTAAACCAGTCACAAAAGAACTATTATTACAGAATAGACCACCATTATCAACAGCTAAGGAAAGGCTTACACACAGAGAGAATCATTGTTGGATACTTACCAAGGATGGGAAGGAAGGTGAGTAAAAATTAATACATAGATAAGTTGTGTGAAGGGAAAGATTCACAATTTGCAATTTACAGTAAGGGGTTAATCAAACATTGCAATTATTTAGTTATGGTAACCAATGTTTTAAGGGAACTTGTATGATAGAATAAAATTATAATTATGGTATAAAATAGACTGTGTATGACTGATCAAATGAGAAACCATTATGATTTGTAAACTTCTTCAAAATAAAAACACGATTTGTTTTCATTTATTATTTAAAAACCGCAAGGAAGTCAAACATCTGGCTCATGTTTTCTGGTGTCATTCTGGTCATGACTCAACAAATAAGTCACAAATATGTAAGCAATTTAAAGGAAAGGAGATGACTTCCAAACTGAAAGAGAAAGTGTTTTGGTTTTTTTTTTCAGATGTAACACAATACAATCTTGCTCCTTGGCTTGAAAGGAAGTATTGATCAGTAGTGAAAGAGTCAAAGGTTAATAACTTGGGCTTGACTACTTCTATCAGACACATGAGTAATGATGTCCTTTGGCTCCTTTCAGATACAGGAATCTCTCTTTCCAAGGAATTAAGCCATTTTCCTGTGAGTCAGTGTGGAGGGTACACATTTTCTATCTCCCACTTCAGAGGGCGAGAGGCACAAAGGTTACTGCAGGATGATGTGGAACAATACAAAATGCACTGGGAATTGCACAGTAAAACACTAAGTAAACCATATAGCTCTGTGGTAAGTTAATAAAACTTCTCCCCGAAGTTTGTTTTGGAAACAGATGTAATTTCTTAGAGCTGGAAAGACAGAATCTGGATATTACTGCTAGGCAGCTGCTGGAGTTAACAGAAAAGACAGTTACACCAGAAACATTTCAAAAATGCACAAACTTTGCTCATGTTTCTCATCAAGTTGCTTGCATTTGTCTAATCTATTAGAGATTGGTTACTCCATGATACAAGTAATTATATTTGATGATTATGTTTAGGAAAACAAAAAGCCCTAAAGACAACTTAAATGCTAGTTTGACTCTTAAAATAACTTGGCAGAACTTTTAAAGCTAGATGCAAATTGTTCTTTTCTCTTTGTCTTTATATCAAAATTAGATTTCATTCAACCAACTCTCTTTAGAGGAAACAATATTTTCTTTGTTAGCCAAGCCCAACATAGATCTCATGCCAATGCCATTTGCTCCTCTTATGGATACCAGCCAATGGATATTCCATGAAATAAAGTAAAAATCTGTGAAACCATTACAAATCAATTAAATTGGGAAAACAGAAGTAGTGATCTCCATATAAACCGAAAAGCATGAGAAAAAGAAAAAGTTAAAACTAAAGTATGGTATTCAAATTGCCCACTTTTAAAGAAAAATATTCCTTAACAGATCTATGGCAGCCAAATATCCAGTCAAACAAACAAACACGTGTCAGATTTCATACTATCCTATTCATTCTTGTGATTACCCATTGAAATGTTCTAAGGCTTTGTAACAGGTTTGGTCGTTAATGAAGGGTTCTTGGGCCCTTTATCTTGCGTTTAGTAGATGAGCTGTAATGATTTAGTAAATAAAAAATGTGCATTGCAAGATGGTTAAATACTTAGTCGGATCCAAAGAAAATCAGATACAATTCATCTACAGGATAAAGTTACATAATAAAACAATCATAAAGATTTATTTCTACAAATGGCAAAGATTTAGAATCAAGATGATGATGATGATGATGATGATGATGATGATGAGTTAGTCTGTGGATCGAGGGTTTTTTTGTAGTCAATCTCTCGTTTCAGCTGCGGCGGCATGCACTTACTAAAGAAGCCTTCAGTAGGATCCCTAAGGTTTAAGATATTGTTTTAAACTTGTCTCGAATTTTGCTTATGTTTTGTTTAAGACAACTTTATTTAAGAATCAATGTTCCGATACTTTAGAGGTGGATTAAGCATCATCAAGCTCACAACTCCATTGCTACACTCCACCAGTAACAACTTCCAGCCCCGCTGGCCAGGACTTGGCCCAAGTCAACGTCCCACTTCCGATCCAGCACAATACAAAGCCCCAGAGCCTGCTCCTCTCTTCCCCCAAACTTGAAACAATCCAGTAGGGATGTCTTAAGCCCTCGCAGGGGGGCTACTGCGAAAAGCCAGCGCCCGGGGCCCGGAGGGGTCTTACCTGAGCCCGGGGTGGCTGGCGGCGCTGGGGGGCTGCGCGCGGCCGCGCGGGTGGTAGGCGGTCAGCACCACGCCGCCCGCGTCCTGCAGCTCCATGGTGGGCGGCGCGCGCTGCTGCTCCGGCCGGACTACAAAGGCGGTGACCAGCATGGACCGACGCGGACTCGGGGCGATCGCCGCGGGCAGGCGGCGGAGGCACGGCCCGCTGGCCTGGAGGGAACCCCCGGGGCCAGGAAACTGGATCCCGGGCAGCGGCTGCGGGGAAGTTGGCAGCGCTTTGTTGCCTGTTCTCTTCCCTTCGGTCTTCCCCTCCCACCGACGGCTTATCCGAAGACTGGCCACATGCGGACGCTTCCTGCCGGCCCCTTCCTGGGGAGCCGCGCGCCGACCGGCTAGGGAGTGTGGCTGGGACAGAAAGGGAGAAAAGGTGATACTCTCATTTAAAGCATCCCCATCAAAAATTGACGAAAGGGATTACATTGCTGTTTACTTGGTCAAGTTACAGTAAACTTGATTTCCTTGGGCAAGGAGAGCGTCCCTCCCCCGCACAGCGGCCGGGCCAGCCCAGCTCCCTCCCCGGCGCTTGGGAAGCTCGAGGATCGCGCCCCGCCCTGGGAAGTACAGGCTCCGGGACCACCCGCTCAGAGCTCCTTATTTGTGAAAGGGAGATGTGGGTAAAGGGATAGAATTAGACCTTTTTAAAAATGTATTTTTTTTTATTGGCTTGCATATAAAATTCGTACGCATTGTGTTACACACAAGCTTCCATTCACGCGTTTCATGCAATCATTCATACACATTGTGTTTTATGGAATTAATTCAAGCGATGTCTATAAAAACCTCGACTTTCGAGTCCCATTGGCTCGTCCCTATTTTTTTCATCTGCCCTCTAAACTCTGCTATGCTGTGCAAGTATTTGCTTCTGTGACATTATTAGCACGAGTGGACAGCCAGGATTCTCACCAGCAACCCCGCAAGGATGCAGGAGAGAGACACACGCGGCCTTCCACACGCTGACGCGTCTGCTCTCCAGGCGTGGGCATTGAGATGGAAAAAGAGGTATGCGCTCTCTGGCCTCGCTGTGATTACGCGGATTGCCCAAAAGCCACGCCTCTAAGAAGGTTCGAACACACCCCTCAGCTCCGGAGAAAGGCGGACAATTGCTTCCCTAGGTGATTGACCAGCCTCAGAAACAGTGCGAGTCAGCTATGAGTCGGTTTCCACTCAGCGGCAATGAGTTTTGAGACTGCTAGCCCAGGATCCTGCTTCTGACCCTTTCGGAGTTTCAATTTCTCCAGGAATGCTGAGGCTCCAAGTACCAAGCAAGTGCTAGGTTCTAGAGAAATACTGCTTCTTGCTGCGTTTCCCTTCACATTCATCAAGTGGGAATTTACCCTCCCTGCAATTTCAGAGGGTGGGGAAGCACGCAAAGCACTACATAAACATGTTCTATCAAAACGTTTTTACAAAGTAACTTGTTGATTAAAGAGGGAACATAGTAACAACTAACATTTACTAAAATGCTTATTAGGTGTTGGATCCTGTGCGTGATCTTTTCAAACTACTGCAGCAATGGGCTCAGGCATGTCTGAAATTATGAAGATGGCGCAGGCTAGGATAGCGATCAGGTCACAGGGTTACTATGAGTCCATGACACCTAACAACTCTGAGGTAGGTAGTGAGCTTGCAAAGCCCTTAGGGAGTTGCACTGCTACCTCAAAGGCGCAGCCTCTCTGGTGGTTCAAATCCACCAAAAGCTCAATAGAAGATGGGCAGTCTCTTCCTATGCAAATTATCGCCTCGAAAACCCGCTAAAAGGTCAAGGATGAGACAGTTCTGACTCCACAGCAATGACAGACACAGAGTGATGAGGTTGTTGCTGTTATGTGCCCTTGAGTCGCTTGCGACTCATAGCGACCCTATGTACATACAACAGCCCTAAACTCTGTTCTGTCCTTTGCCAATCTCATTGTCTCCAACACACTAGAGGTAGGTAGAACTATAAAGCAATTAAACATTAGTGGGGCAGGGAAAGAGGGGAAGACCCTCAGTTTGTTTGTTTTGTTTTGTTTTTTTTTGTTTTTGGTTTTTGTTTTTTTTTTGGTCGGTTCCAATATTGAGTGACCTTGTAGCATTGGATTTCCAAAACAGGCTGCCACATCTTTCTCTCCATGCTGGTTTCCCCATCATCAGGGCTCTTTTGCTTATGGAAAAAGGCATCTATTAAAAAAAAAAAAAAGGTTTCATTTTCCTAAATAATTTCTATTAAAATGGCATCACCTGCTATGTCTAACTCCGAAAGTGCTCATCAACTGTAACTCAGATTCATTCCAGGTAAAGTCCAGACCTGGAACTGACCAATAAATTGCACAAAAGAAGATTGCTCATCTTTTGTGGATCAACTAGGGATTCAAACTGCTGCCCCTTGGGTTGAAAGTGCAACTTCTTGCCTACCACAAAACAGAATTCCTTTTAAAATGTAAAGCAAGGAAATAATACTATTATTGCGACATGTCCACAATGCTATATTTAAGAACTTGGGGCCAGATATGTTTCAGAATTTGTAATTGTGTTTTAAAAATTATTTAGAAAGTAAAATGCTTCACATACCACAAAAAAAAGCAAAAACCCACCACTAGCATATTTTGAGGCAGCAGCGTATAGCCAAAAATATTGATATTTGCTGAGGGAAAAAAATTAATACTGACCCTAAAGCCTATATATAGTCTTGCATTTGCTCATGTTAAGTTTTATAACCAAGCAAATTTTGGTTTCAAATGTATAAAATCAAGATTTTATTGTTTTTGATGCGTTTTGGTTTTTGTTTGGCTTATTTTCCTTTTGGAATTCCAGTAAGGATGGGAGGCAGGGAATGTCTTCCTTGGAATTGTTCGCCTTGAATCTCAGACTCATATTTCAAATTCCTACAGGCTTTTTGGTTTTTGGTTTGTTGTTGTTGTTGTTGTTTTCAAGTTTATTGACATAATTCTTTCTTGAACTATCCTTTGGCATCCCAATTCCTTGTGTGAATTTTGACATCTTTTACCTTCCTCTTGTATATTTATATTCACATATTAGATGTCTGCTTTGACTCCTGTCTCCAATTAGTTATCAATGTCTAGTCATAATTTGTTCTAGTCACATTACCAGCACCTCTGTCCTTATTAACACATTTCTAGAAGTGTGGCGTCAGGATTGGTGGAAGACCTATTAACAATCTGCGTTATGCAGATGACACAACCCTGCTTGCTGAAACTGAGGAGGACCTGATGCACTTGCTGCAGAGGGTCAAGGACTACAGCTTTCAGTATGGACTGAGGCTCAATGTCAAGAAGACAAAGATTCTCACCACTGGACCAATTGGTAGCATCAGGATGGATGGTGAAGAGATTGAGATTGTTCATAGCTTCAGTTTGTGGGGCTCCACAGTCAACACTCTTGGCACCAGCAGCCAGGAAATTAAAAAAAAAAACATATCACGATGGGAAAGTCTGCTGTTAGGGACCTTTCTAAAGTACTCAAGAGCAACGGTGTCTCTCTGAAGACTAAGGTGCACCTGATACAGGCCGTGGTCTTTGCAATCACTTGTTATGCATCAGAGAATTGGACATGACTAGGGAGGATAGAAGGAGAATTGATGCCTTTGAGCTGTGGCGCTGGAGAAGAGTATTGAAGGTACGATGGACTGCCAAGAAAACAAACAGATTCATCCTGGAGAGGGTTAAACCAGGCTACTCCTTGGAGGCAAGGATTCTGGGGCTTCATCTGACATACTTTGGACACGTTGTAAGGAAAGAGATCCTCGGAGAGGGACATCATGCTTGGTAAGGTGGAGGGACAGCGCAGGAGGGGAAGACTCTCTATGAGGTGGACTGATTCAGTGACTGGGGTAATCGGGATGGGTGTGTCAGAGGCAATGCGATTGACACAGGATAGAGCAGGATTTAGGGATGTTGTACATAGGGTCACTATGAGTCCCAAACGACTCGATGGCACATAACAACAACAACAGCTTATTATTGTTGTCAGGTGCTATTGAGTCAGCCAGCCACCACACTAACAGATGTCTGGTGGATATCTTGTCTAGATGATACCAATTTTTCTTGATGGTAGGTTATTGTACCTCTTGCTTAAAATTCTCTATCAAAACAAGAGAGATTTTGTCCTAAAACACAGATCTTCTCCTCAAAAAACTATCACTTGATACCAACACAGTTAAGTCTCTTTGTTTGGCATCACAAAAATTCTAGTAGCCTACCATCTTTTGATCCAGATTTCTATCCTGAGAAACCTATAGAATCAGAAGAGAGAGAAAGCTCTTCTCCAGAGATAGCACTCTGATTTTGAACACTAGCCTCCTAAATTATGAGTTAACATATCTCTATTGAAGCCATCCACTTATGTATTTCTGTTATAGTAGCACTCGAAAACTATGGCAGATTCTGACCTACTTTCTGGGTGAAGAAGATTCTTGGCTTTAATTATTTTACTTGGTAAAATTATTTTCTTTACCTTGGATATCATTTTCTCTACTTGGAATATAACATTGTTATGTGCCCTTGAGTCACTTGTGACTCATAACAACCCTATGTACAACAGCCCTAAAACCTGCTCTGTCCTGTGCCAACTTTACTGTCTCTGACAAACCTACCCTCATTTCCCCAGTCACTGTATAATTCCATCTTATCTATGGTCTCCTTTCTTTCTCCATCCCTCCGCCCTTCCAAGCATGATCTCCCTCTCCAAGGACTAAGTCCCTCCTTGTCCAAAGTATGTCAGATGAAGCCTCAGAATCCTTACTTCCAAGTAACAGCCTGGCTTCTCCCTCTCTTGAATGGACTTATTTGTTTTCCTGGCTGTTCATGGCATATTCATCATTCTTATCCAACACCACAGCTCAAAGGCATCAAGTCTCTTTCTATCATCCCTAGTTATTGTCCAGTTCTCTGACACATAGCAAGCAATTGCAATGACTACGGTCTGGATCAGGTGCACCTTAGTCTCCAGATTAATGTTGTTGCTCTTCAGTACTCTGGAGAGGTCCTTGACAATAGGCTTTTCCAATGAAGTTCATCTCTTGATTTCCTGGCTATTGG